ATACGAAACTATAAAACTAGCTCATTTAGTTTTAAGATATCATTTCTTTTCATACCCATTCCATGAAAATTGTAATTTTTCTCAATAATATTAATCGAGAAACTTTACTCCAAGAATTAAAGATATTCTTGGAGTAAAGTTACTTACGGCGGTTCGCATTGATAAGAGAGCTGAATAATTTCTGATGTCATCACTATGGAAATAACGAATGCGGGAGGAAATATTCAAAATATAATGAATACATTTTTTATTATCACGTTTATACATTATTTTTATCCTATTTCTACTAATATTATAAATGCGAATGTTTAGATAGATGGATGTTTGAAGGTATCACCAGAACGGCTGAACGAATCTGCCAAGTAAACAAACTTGTATGGATGAATCTAATCTTAGAAGGCCGTACAAAAGCGCTTGCTTCGTGCACCCGAAAGCGATAGTTCCTAGTGGTGTGATTACAATGTAAACCATTTCGCGTGTCTGTGGCTGGAAGATAGCGGTGTAGATTCGCGATCAGTGCGCGGTGAAGGGATCGCCCGTATAACCTTGGAATGTTTTACAATGTACACATGGTTTTTAGCTAGATAACCTCACCCGCTATCACTTCGACGTCAGAGTTAGACCTTCATTTGACGTTGTTACGTATACTTCATTTTTTTTATTACAATACAGTTTTTGAATAATAATCCTACTAAGTTCTTTTAATTTTTTTGTATTAATTTCTCTACCGTGTTAATTATTCCTTAGAAATTAAAAAGTATTTTTACTTATACAACTAACTTTTTTTCCTAATTTAATTATGTTACCTTTTATCGTAAAATACTTTTTTTTTCTTCAATTAAACAAAACAAAAATTGATAATATACCCACACACCTATCAGATGAATCAGTACTTCCCAGTACTCGCCACTTACGTATATCGCCCACTCAAATATTTTCAGTTCACTGTAAATCTACTCTCTCCTCCACAATATAAAAGCTTTCTTATACTTTTGCACAAGAAAATAAGGAAAATCTAAGCACTTTAGACCTTCCTTAACATACTACGTATTAAATTACAAGAAAATTGTGAAATCTATTCAAATTTAAATGAAAACGTTTATATTACATTTATGAATGAAATAAATTTTCCCATGAATCAATTGAGCAGCACACGTATTGATAAGCAACAGCGCCATCTATGTGCGAGTGGAAGGAAAATGGATACTATAAAAGTTTACGAAAAACTTTGTTTTTTTTAGTAATTATAACAATGGGTTAGAGTTTATCAATTTTATGATTGCAAATGCAATAATAGTACTTTTAAGACATTTTACATTAAAAAAAATTAAATGGATACATTAAAATAACCTGAAAACTCAGCTTTTCCTCACTGAAACAATCGTAAGTAATTGAATTATTAAAATCCAACTAACCTGCCATCAAGCTGATGTGGTCCATTCTGGAGCACTACATTAACAAGGCTGGGCTCAGCGAATGTGACGAATCCAAAACCCCTTGAGCGGCCAGACTCGCTATTCTTCATCACAACGCAATCGATCACGTCGCCGTAGCGCGAAAAGTAGCGCTGCAAGTTCTCCTGTGAAGTCTCCCATGACAGACCACCGACAAACAGTTTTCTGTTGAACAAACATATTATTGTTGAGATGAAGAACTGCTATCATGGAAGTTAAATACAATAGTGCTAGGAAATGATTATGATAGCTGAGTAATATAAAACTTCAGTATTGCACCATGTAACCATGGATTTCCACTTGTATAGAAATTGTCAATGCTTTTTGGATGAATGCATATGTCAGTTTTTATTAGGGTTTCCATAGCCTTCGTGGATGCTAACATTGACTAAATTGTACTCATCGAAGCAATAGCTCTTTTGTATATGTAATAGATTGATGAGGTGAAAGGAAAATGAATTTCAGTTACGAACATTTAATTAAAAACCTAATAAATGTACAGAATAGCTTTTGCCCGCAACTCTGTTTGAAATTTTACATTCAATCTTGACTCATTTACATAACTACAATTAATATTTTAATGTTGTAACAATGCCTTAAACATTTAAATTTAAACAAATAGACATTACTACTAGCATGAATCTCAAATTTATTACATTCACTTTCCACTAAAGAGAAAATTATATAAATTATATTTTCAAATGCTGTTCTTTTACTCCCATAATAAGAAGTCATTACAGGATAAAATGACTAGGATAGTAAGATATAAAAATATAGTATTTCAGCCCTTAAGTTATAGAAATAAGATTCAGAACCTAAAGTAAGGCCAACAGCCAAGCCAAATTTTGGCATAATAATTTTGTTTACATTAAGTATTCAATAATCAAAGTTTACCTCAAAATAATATAAACAAACAAATGATGCAAGATTATACTGATAATGAGTAAAACTGGAAGGATTGAGCAGAGCTTTAAATTTAAAGCATTTTTAACATTTATCATATAAAAATTTAGATTTATGCATGACCTTTTAAACATATTTAACTTATGTCTACTAGACTATTCAGTGTAAAAACTAGTAAAAACCCTATTTTATTGGCAAACAAAATGTATTAAAAAAAGTGTGATCAACCACAATGGCAGAGAAAAAGTAACAAACATATTTTAAAAGAAACAAAAAATTACCTTACAATTTACTTCATTATAGTACTAAAAAAACTTTAAATCTATTTTATTTGTAGGTATTTTGATTTTTTGTTTATTGTCATTTTGCCAATGTGTAAATTTGTAGCCAAAAGATTTTTGATCAACAAGTGTGGTACTTTAAACTCTAGTATATCCTATAATTCACTAAATATCATTGTTAAACATTTTTAACAATTACTCTGACATATTGACCCAAATACCTAACACAAACTGTTATCAGTTTCAATGAATTTACTTATTATAATTTAATTTAGTTTTACTTAGGGCATCAAGCTCTGAATTCTACTTGCTTTTGATAATTTTAGATTGTTTCAAATATACTTTCAAGACACCTATACTGTATAACATTACCAACTGGTGAAAGTAACATTCTCTTTAATCTCTCAATGTGATTGTTCACATAGTATGTATGGAAAATTTCTCAAGATTATTATCTCTCATTTTATGTTCGTAAGGAATCATAAAAATAAAACATTAAAGATAATCAAAATTGTAACTGATAAAACACATTAACAATTATAATCTAAAATGTTGACTACTAACATATTGCATTATCTTAAAGGCGCACATCGTCGTAGTAAAGAACGTGCTTTTTTAAACAAACACATGCTTGATTTGCAAAAAATGCGTTCAAACGGTGAAGACATTTTATACGGTCGACGCAGGTAACTATATGCTAATGAATCAGCATGTTTTAGCCGCGTCTCGTAAATGAGATTGAGCTACGCGGCACTCCGCCGCTCCAATAACCTCATTACTATCGCATGTATCAAAATTAACAAGCTATCGAAATACTCAATATAAACGTGACACTGACAAAGCCATACCGCGAAATATACGATAAGAGAAAGCAATAATTTGTCACAGAAAGGTTATTCTTAAGCGAAGTTTCCGCATTGAAGGAATTTCCACAATGTACAGTTATATAAACATTCGTATTCAAATAATTACAGTAAAGAATAACATATTGCCAAATTAAGGCAAAAACAATGAGAAAGTGAAGCTGCCATGATCGTTAGCACGCAAGTCGCACTCTAAGGCTTGGGGTCGGTGGCCGCTTGCCGGTAAAAGGCTAATTGAACAAATAGGAACTGAACTCTATGCCAAAACCCGCCATCATATTTTACTTTAAACATTATAAATATGTAAGGCCAATGCAACGCTGCCATACACGTAACCTTACTTAGTAAGCTGTGCTGGCTGTTCAAGAAATGCGACACAGCAAGCGACATGCAGTTTGACCTATTATAGTTTGACATACCCAGAAAACCTTTTATACATTTAAAAAGTAGATTTTATTATGCTCACCCCTTCTCGTCATCGTCCATGTCTGGATTCATACGCATAACTTATTACTAATTAAAAATAATGCTTGGCACCGGTAAGACACCCAAACCACACAACCACAGACCCACACGAATGATTATGGCGGACCAACCATATCCGCTTTCTCAAAAGTCATGAATACAGGATGTGGTCAACACAAGTACGATTTTTTTTATTTCTTTAAAAAAAATTGTTGGTGTAAGAAGTTTGGGAAAAAAAGTTATATTTTAATTGTATTTAAATCTAAAAAGATTAAACCTGGTGAATTACTAACGAGTGGTAACCGTTTTCAAATAATAAAGTTTTAATTTGATTAAAATTCGCCAAAAATAGACCAATATGGCGGCTATTTGTAAAAATGTTGCCATAAAATTTCACACGGAAAATATAAATGCTTTCGTGTCATTCCATAGACAAAACAAGGAAACCATAAAGAGTTTGAATAACAACTTGCAAAATAAAAAGACACCTTTAAGTTGTGTATGTCAATATCTTAAATGTTTCATGTTCTCAACAATAAAATTGGGTGGTCAATTTTATTCATCTGTACGATTCAGCGCCCTTGCTCGAAATTTCTATAATTACCGTGTTGTGAGGTACCTATAGAAGTGTCAAGGGTCCAATTCAGTTCAAAAAACTAGGAAAATGCTAATGCCAACGGTTCAACAACTGCTTTATTTTACTAAAATTTTTGAATTGTAGTTTTTATCTGGACTGGAATGACAGATTTCCAGTATCCATAGTTCCAAAGTTTTAATTTGACAACTAACTAAGCTGTCAGAACGAATTTAGCCGAGTAGGTCGAATCAAATTTGGCTGATTCTTTCTTTCGTTATGTCATGGATTATTATAAATTAATTTGTGGCTTACTTTTATAAATCCCTTTATATTCTCGAAGTAATCTAATGATTATAAATTAATGAACTTCATAAGTGTCATACGCAAATAGTACTAGGTTATGTTGTGTGATCTGTTTTTTCGCTGTGAAATGTAAGTAATGTTTTGTATTTTATTTTTTTCAATTTATTATCTCAATATAGAAAAAGGTATATCTTGCATCTTCTAATTGCTTCCAAGTTATGTAATGTATCTTTGCCGGTGTGTATATGTAAATGTCAATGCAATTTGCTTGTTTGGAAAAATCACACATTATGTTTTAAGTTATTCAAGAGCACATTCTTTCTATTAGAGTTCTATTTTGAATTATTTCGGTTATTCTCTTCAAATTGCCTCATTTAGATAAAGATATGAGATTGGATTGGATATATGAAATGAAAGATTAAAAAAAAAATAGTAATGTGCAGCATACCTTTTATTTTCTCTGCATTTGTATTATATTTATTTTGATCATATTAATATATGTTACTTAAATATGTCGATTACTTTTATATCATATTAAAAATATTCAACTTTTTTTTCTTATTCTTGATGATGACAAATGATTTTATTAAATATTTACACAAAAAAACAGCTAATAGACTATTACTAATAAAAAAAGACTTTTGAGATGTACATATCAATTTTCACTGCTGAAACATCTGTACATTATCTCAGTTTATCAAAAGTATAAGAAATGAAATGTTTTTGTACAATTCTTACTGAAGTTGATACATAGTTACACATAACAATTTCATAAAAGTTACTAGGTTAAAGAATCTGTATGATTTTTTAAATATTTATTCTTTATGTAGCTTTAACACCATAATAGTGATTTCATATTTTTTGAGGTATTGTTTATTTTTTTTATTAATTCAACAGATAGCAGCCACAATGGACCCAAATATCTATGCCTTGGTCTTAGACACATTAAACCGCGCCACCAGTCAAGATACTGAGGTTTTAAAACCTGCAGAGAAGAAACTACAAGAATGGGAAACTGAACCTGGGTTTTATTCTGTACTCTTGGTGAGTAAACACAATAATTGCAATCAACTCTCTTGCATATTCATATTAATATGTATAAATCAACTAGGTGTAGCCTGCGACTCCAACTGCTTGTACACTTATTTTCTAGCTTAAAACAATGATTTTATTCACCTTACAGAATGTTTTGACAAATCACTCAATCGATGTGAATGTTCGTTGGCTAGCGGTAATGTGCTTCAAAAATGGAGTGGAGAGATATTGGCGCAGGAATGCACCACATGCAATTGCTGATGATGAGAAGCACAAGTTACGTCAGGGGATCCTGACTTCCCCTGTACTCAATGAACCTGTTACACAGATTGCAACTCAGCAAGCAGTGTTGATATCAAAAATAGCAAGGTTAGATTAAACAAAATATTTGTAAATTCAAATGCAAATTTTTCCTGAGAATGTGATAGGATTTTTTAGTGTTGAGAAAATGTGTCTTAATAATATAATATTCTGTCCAGAAAATTAAAATGACCCACACTCACAGAATTTTAACATTTAACAATTATGTTACTCCCTTAAAAACAATTTAAGTGAATGAAAAAACAAATATATCGAAATAGAATGTATTTTCAATCCAGCTGTTACAATTTTAAACCTTTCTATCTTGTTAAAAAAAGAAGACAATTAACTATTTCATATTTTAATCAAAAATTAAGTATTTAATAATTTGAATGTAGCAAAATTCCATGAATATAGTGTAAATTATGCAAGATAATTTGAAAAAGTAGAACCCAGTTATTTAGTAAAAAGAACAGTCTGTTTTGGATAAAATTAAATTAACCTACTTGATTAATTGGATCTGTCTGTACGTAATTGGATCCTATAATGGATAGTAGCTTTTGTCAAAGAATACTTTTACTTGGATTTTACTTGCATTTGCAAGGTTAAAATTAAACACATTAAATGCTGCTATTTTTACGTACCAATATGAGTTGGCCGCTTCAGAATGTATTAGACTTTTTGCATTAGAATAATACTTAAAAATAATAAATGTATGTTTCATTAATTTTGGGAATTTTTTTTTATTTCTGTGTTTATTATTTTTCAGGTTTGATTGTCCAAATAACTGGCCGAATTTGGTGCCCGATTTGATTGGTGCGTTGAAAGCGCTTCAGCCCCTCGTGCAGCACAGATCATTGCTTATATTCCATCATGTGGTTAAAGCGTTAGCATCGAAAAGACTTGTTGGTGATAGAAGAACATTTTCTGTAAGTGAATCCTCTAACATTTCTTTAATTCTTTCTTTTCAAAATAGCTCGTAATACATATGTTACTACTCTATGCAATACTGAAGATTGGATGCGAATTTGTTAGCCAAAAATTTAAAAAAAGGGACCTAATAATATTACCACGTGCATTATCTACCCAGATACCACCTGCCCGATAAAATCGGTCCATACCTTCTGGAGGTAGCGGTCGCCCTCGGCTGTGTTAGCTTGAAATTTAAAAAAAGTAGTTCCAGTAAAAGTCCCTCCAAAATTAGTGCAGCCCTTTTGGAGATCAAATGCTATACACTGATTCTAAAGTTTATAAAATTCTCAAATTCTTTAAACCATACTTTTATAATTAATTGAATTTTATATCTTAAATGTACTTTAATAATTAATCCCATACAATTAAATTTATAATATTTTTTAAGGAATTAACACACTCTGTATATCCGTTCATACTTCAACTATGGCATGAGAACACTCAAGTGTTTCTCCGTAACATACAAGAAGGTGCTGCGACTGAACTGATCACTGAACATCTGGAGAAGGCACTGCTTTGCCTGAGGATCTTAAGGAAGCTGACGGTGTTTGGTTTTAAAAATGCACATGACAGTGAAGATGCTGTGGCCTTCTTGAATGTTGTGTTTGATAGAGCCAAGACAAGTTTAGAATGCCGTAAGTATTATGAAATTACCCTTCCCAATTGTTGGTTTCTGAGACCAAAATTGATGTATAAAACATGTCGTCCCTGGCGTTATCTTAGCAAAACAGAGGTAACATTTTTTAAATGTAAATTTTGGTTTCCAGACACAGTTAGTAAATAAAAAAAAATGGAATGTAATTATTTTTTTTCTTAAGTCCTAAGATGGATTAGATTTTTTTTTTGTTTTAAAGCTCTTTCTATGTAACAATTGTTATTGGTAGTGGCAAAATTTATGTATTTAAATAAAAAAAAACATGATGTTCCTTTTTCTTTGAAAATAAACCTAGAACAAAATTTCTGTTTGGCTTTGTTCTGTTGGCCTTTTTATCAACTTTAGTAACTTGGTTATGGTTATTATACGATTCTGTTTATTAATTTCAGGTAAACTCCTCAAAGGTCGTGGTATCTACCCGTTGGAGTTATGTGAAAAGTTCATAATACATTTAACTAAAGTAGCTTTAGGCGTGTTGGGCTTCCATCCATTCTCTTATGTGCCTCTCATACGGCCTTCTTTAGAATTTGCTCTGTTCTATTGCTTCACGGAGCAAGGAATGTCGCTAATATACGAAAGATTCACGATACAATGTCTAAATATACTAAAGACAATACTACAGTGCGTGGAATATAAATTGCCTAAAGGAGAAGCTGTTAATGATCCTTGTAAGTATATTTATGTTGATTCTAATGTATGGAGGTAAAGTTTGTTAGTTAACCTAAGCGAGAAACTTCTATAAGCGAGTCATCGTCCTGTTTTAATGGACAATGTCCATAAGCGAGAATCTCTGGTACGGGAGAAATCTTTAGAAGTGGTTCCTCTGGTATTGCTGATGTCCATGGGCGTCGTTGAACACCTCGGTGTTCCCGCTGCTCGTTTGCCTCCTTCTGTCATTAAAAAAACGTGGATTAATTGATAATTTTTTATAGTTGTGAAAAAGTTAACTATTAAAGTAAAGTGCACTATGAATACCAAGATGGCCGCCTTCAAAATGGCAGATATATATTCTTGAACATTTATATAGCAGTTTGTAATTTTTCATTGATAATATATTCTTTTCTCGTGTCCAGTGGTACTCCAAGCGCACCAGGTGAAGCAGGAGGTGCTGGATGAGCGCACAGTGTGTCACATGTGCCGGCATCTCGTGGGTCACTACTTCCCTCTCAGCGGTGATGACCTCGCGCTCTGGGACGCAGAGCCAGAGAGTTTCGCCACTGATGAGGCTGGCGAGTCCTGGAAGTATAGCCTTAGGGTGAGTAACTATTCTGACGCGTTGGCCATCAAGGGGGT